TTGCTATCGATTTTGCTTTCGATATTTTTTCGATTTTGATATCAATATTTTCATCGATTTCTTTATCGATGTTTTTATCGATTTTGCTACCGATATTATTATCGCTTTTGTTATCGATATTTTTTGCTTAGTGTGTGCTTTTGTTGTTTTACTTGGATATGCTCTTAACCATACCACGTATTCTACGTTTAAATTTAGCGGCTGTATCTCCGATACAGCCTTCAGGCCAAGACGAAGGCGCGTGACTGTTCCTTTTTTTATTATTATTATTATTTTTTTTTTTTAATATGAATACGAAAAGTGGATGTAAATTCTTTAGGCTTAATTAGTTTCTTTTTTTTTTTTGAAAACTGAGCTTATATCTACATGTAGACTAAAGTCTAATGGCAATAGGAGAAGCTTTGTTTTGTCTGATTTTGACTACTGAAAAATATTGGTGAAAAAAAACACAGAAAAGCACACTTTGCGAAGTTTACTTTTTTATCCAGCCTTTTATAAAACAACAGGATTCTCTTTAATAAGTGCAGCAAGTTAAAAAAAAAAATAATGGGAATTGCCGTAAGTAAATTCGAAAGCATTTTAACAGGTATATTCTGCACGTTATCGAAGATTTTGTAACCGGAAATTTTTATTAGCAAAAAATTTTACTAGTTCTTGTCACCGCCATTCTACGTATGTTGGCAATGCAGTCAAAATATTCAGCAATTAAGCTATGAAAATTTGTCAAAATTCTGGTATTGCATATTTCACGGGGCAATTTTTGTTACCAGCTTATGAGATAGTGACAAAAGTTACTGGTTACAAGAGTGCACAGAATGCGAAAAGGGTTTAAAAAAATTTTACAAAATTTTTATTACCAGCGCAGAATAGACCTGTAAATACATATATGTCCAGAAATCAAATAGCGAATATGGGTCAAATAGCTATTGCCTCAACTACGGAAAATATGAAATTTGGATAAATCTTAGACATAGGAATTAGAGGGCTGCATGAATTCATTCAAACTTCTAGACAAACAGAATACAGGAGATTTGAATATATTACTTCACATACAAAACACTCAGCGTTTGGAATTTTGTAAGTTATGAATATACATTTTGTTTTATATTTTCTACCTTCAAATAGAAGAATGTGAATGAATGAATGGAAAACATTCAAATCATTCAAACTCAGTTCGGTAAAAGTTTTTTTCTACAAACAAGTTTTTTTCGTATGTAATAGGAGCGTAGCAATACATACAAAAAATATATTGTATGTTTGTACATATGTGCATAGAAAAAATATTTTTGGATATTCATACACAAAATTGTCATTTATTTCAATTCAATTTATTTTCACTTTGTTTGAATATTGTGATGTAGACACAAATATCAGAACAGCTATTCACTCAAATTCAAAAAAAAACTTGAAGCCAAAATCAATCATTCGTTTTGTATACGAATAATTCAAAAGCCGTTTTGAGTGCATTCATGCAGCCCTCTAATAGGAATGTATGGGCGAATATAATTAATAGAAAAGTTAGTAATGTTATCATATGCGGGGAAATTTAGCTTCTATGGTTTCAATAGATTAATAAATGCATTTCCACAAGTACAAAGGTGGAGCGTTTGTAGATTTCACACCGTCATTCGAGAGGGGAGCACAACGGTCTAGGGCGCAATGACGTTCTATGGAAGAAATAGATTCAAATTATGCATTTGAAGATTGCTAAGTAAAGTGTTAATTTTTCGTTGTGACTGATCTAAATGCAATGCAAAATGTATAAGAGAATACATAATAGCGATTTTTATCAAAAATGATTAACTTTTGATAAACTTGATAAAATGATAGATTTATCATTTTGATAAATGAACTGTCAAACTTTGTATGTAAATATATTTAACCAAAGTTTATCACTTTATCCAACGACTCTGGTGGATAAATGCATAAGTTTCTGCAAAATTCAACCCTTATAGGTTGCCAGGTGGTAGCTTTTGCTACGAAAACATAAAAGCAAATGAATACAATGGACGAGGTAAGAATGAAACGTAACTAGCCATACGTTAAATAATAAACTATTTTATGAAATTATTTACCAAAGGTGCGTTCATGAAAGAAAGTGGATAAACTGATAAATTTAAGCGATTTATCTCTTTATCCTTTTAGATGAAGACCCGTAATATGATTTTGTTAATTTCTTCCTTTTCACCACTTTTCTTTAGAATTGTTTATTATTCAAAATGAATGCGAAGCTTCTCCCATGGCTACAAGTAAATATATTAGCACAGTAGAGGAAAATTTAAAAAAAATAAAAATAAAAATGCATCTGATCAAAAGATGATTGTGTACCTAAAATCTTTTTTTCGAGTGAATGTGTCAAGTGCAGTTTGGTCGGGAACTTTGCAGCTCTCTAATATCTCACCCACTAGAAATAGCACAGTTTGCGCTTTGTAAAAAGTCACACATACTCCTGGGGAACCATTGAAAAATGGTGTAAAATTAGCATTTTGACAACGGAAATGTAAACTCGATAAACAGTATTTTTGTGCATAAGACCTTTCTATTGTCAAAGGTATTCAACATTTATTCTACATATCACTCCGGCTACGCCATCCACAGTATATTTGCGTAGAACTCACTCCGAAATTCCCAATAGGGCAGGCCGAATTTATTAAAAAGTAGCTAAGGCCTGGCTTGGTTCGCGACGCCTTTCCTAGCAATTATTTCGCAAGTGTTTTTATGTATTCCACGTAACTGATCTATACACTTCCAAACGTATGGTAAAAAGAATTCTTCAAATTTTGCCAGATGGCTGCACCGCCAAAAGAAAATGTCGACCGAACTGTATCAAATGTATGGGCTTTAAGCTCAATTGAAATGATTCCTTCTCTCCTGCATATTGTATATACGAACACTGCCCGCAAACAGGTGCTAGACTGGGAGTTTATGTAAGGTTTCGTGGGGTGGAAGCAAAAGTTGCAGTAGGATATTGTCTGGTAGCACGCTGTACCGGAAGCAGCAACGACGGCAAAGAAGACAACAATGCTAGCAGCGGCAAGTTATTGTTGTTGCGCATAACAAGCGCACTAGAAACATGGCCAACGACGCGTGTCAGTGGTCTTTTATCCGGGTACAACTCAGCAGTCTGTAACACATACATATGTACATACATTACTACATACATTCAATGTACATACACATGTATGCACCTCCAAACCTAAAATATGTATTGGATATGAGCAGAAGCATGCGTACATATGAACATAAACTAATTCATTCACAACGGGGCCACCCACTTCACCCCAATTCAGGGCACACACCACGCCAATGAAATACGTGTATATGCAGATTGTATGTATGCAGATATGTATTCGTTGGTGCAGGCATATTACATACCAGCTTACATGCGTATACAAGTGAGGCGATATTGCAACAAGGTACTCCTGCTTGTAATTTGCAATGTTGCAACGTCTCCAACGTGCCTAAGTGGAGAAAAATTTATTTAGAAAAATGCATTCTACATACATAAGTGCGGCGCCGCAGTGCATCTAAAAAGAGATCCTTCCTCCACATATCTGCTCCAATGCTACAACCATGATTACTAACACTAATATATTATGGTGAACGGTTGGTTGCAACAGGGTCGATAGCGTCAGTCGTAAAGCTGTTGCTATCGCCGCCGTCGCCGCCGCCACCGCCGCCACCGCCTAGTGATAGTATGCAACACAGAATA